GAGTGGAAGTATCATGGTCGTTTTGGAGCCTGATACTTACCACTTTAACGTAATTTGCGGTACGCCATCGCAGACTCGCACGATTCTACCTGCGTGCCGGCACACACGCAAGTAGAATCGTGCGAGTCTAAAAGCAGCTAATCACGAGGCTTTCAATGCAATCTCTCAATGACCAGCGTTGTCAACAAGTGGCCAGCAACGGCGTCGGTCGGTCGGTTGGTGAACTCTGAAAGCAGCCTTTGCGAGTGTACGATTAATGCAACAGTAATCAGCTTGTTCAGAAAATTACATTCAATAACTTAAAAGAACATGATAGGCGATTCAGGGCTGCCCCTAATACAGGCAATTTTAATTTCAAGGCGGCATGGTATGGCTAACTATCCACAATAGAACTAGCTTATACTTCGGGGACTCGTATATTACTATTTGTGAACTGCTGAAGAGAGCGAAAGAGTCTTCCCATTTCCCTGAACATTGAGAGCCGCCAATTTGGTAGATCCGAGTAATATCCTTGTAGAGGCTGCCAGGATTTTCCAGGCCATATCGGACTGCTCAAATCAGTAACGACATGACAGGTATCCATGCCTCCAATCTCGAACATTTCCATCAGTATATTGAGGAATACGAACGCTTTTATGTGGACTATGAGAAGCTTTACAGAAAATGCCTTGGCTTTTCATAATGATCGTTGGCGATTTTAGCGCCACGATTGGATTAAAACAAAAGGCTTAAGAGTCACATCAAGACTCACAGAATGGATTAGGAGAGGAGGGTGAAAGAATTTATATTGCCGAAAACCCTCCCACACCACAGCCCTACTACCCCACAGCTTCCTGTGCCACGCAGTGGGCAATTACGCATCGAAATTGGTGACGTCATCTTCAATAGGAGGCTCAGCCTGACTATTGGCTTAGTTCTATATAAGTTCCATTAGAAACCGTGATGTTATCACCCTTCAATGAAGTAAAAAGTCTCAAAGTTCAGTAAACGGCGCTCTACAACAAAAATACCTTCAATACGGTCAGGAAATTAGGTGAAATGGAGTACTCTGCAGGAAGTTCCCAGTGAAAAAAGTGTGTAAGTTAGATGTGCATGGACAATTGTTGTGTTGCGTGGGAAGTAACTCACTCGAGATAGACGGCTCAAAATTGATCAAATGGTTGAAGAGCAGAGCTAAATTTTATTGTGAGAAAAGTTAAAANAAAACAACGGGTAACGTGAACAAGCGCTTTTGCCCTTTCTCTGCACCCAACAAAAGTCCGGACATGCCATGTTTCGTTACGTAGTGATTGTTGCATGGGTAACTTAAGGAACTAGAACCGGAAAAGAATTACACAGGACACTAATCGAAGTTTTCACTTCCATTCAAGCAACTATAAAATGATGCAGTTTTTTTCTTCGCTGTTTAGCAGATACAACTAAATATTCTTTGATCCCACATCTTTTTTTCAAGTTTTGCCGCGTGAGATAGGCATGTAGTTATTTTTGTTTTGACTTGATGTTCTGTTAACTGCTGCTATTTCACGCGAAACGAAAGCCTCGTAGGATGACAAGTGATGGACAGAATGTGGTTTTGCTCCTCGTCGAGTGAAGTTTAGGTTCAAGATTCACTTGAAGAACCCAAATTTTGACGCTAGCTACTACGTCTCCCACAAAACCATTTCAATGCAAAAGAAACCGAAGAGATTTAGTCATACAAATGAGACTCAGCTGTTCGCCTTGTAATATGATCCTAACTCATCCTAGTCATCGTGAAAATGCTGCATGATAACCGAGTTCCTGGAGATGTTCAAAAACTTTCACATGAACGCATCCTGACGGTTTCTCATGACGATGACGTCGTCGAGATAGACAGCAACGCCGTTGGGTCCAGAGATCATGAAGTCGACANTCTGCTGGAGGATGGCAGGTGCTGATCTGATTTGTAGCGGTAGAGTCCTCGATGCATGTTGATTGCAGGGAGCTCTTTAGAGTCGTCGTCGATTTCAACCTGTCGTGGGCATCGGCGAAATCGATTTGGGAGAAGATGGTTCTGCCATTGAGCTTGGTGAAGACGTCCTCTGCGGTGGGCAGTGGGTACCGGTGCAACAGTGCAACAGCAGCGCCTTGTTGAGTCCAATCGAGAAGTCGGATGGATCCACTGTCCTTTCTCACAAGGACGTTTGGGCAGCCCATAGCGAGTGATCGATGTGGATGACGTCCTGTGCCACGAGTCTGTCGATCTCGGCGTCGAGGAGCCGTATAGAAGCGTAGGGAACCGGCTTCATTTTGATGGAAACCGGGTGTGCATCGGGCTTGAGGTACAGCTTCCTTGGTTCTCGTACAGCGTCCAAACACTAACTTGAAGACATCCGTGAAGTGGTGCTTCAGCTTGACGATCGTCTTGTCTCGGACCCCTGCTGCACACACTGTTCTACCTGCCAGCAGCAATGAGACCATTTTAGTGCAGCTAAACAATGGTTGGAAAGCAACGACTTCCGTAAACAAAGGTAGCATGGTCGAATCCACTGAAAAAGTGGAAGATTACAGGTATCCAAGCATAGAGATTTTATACCCGCTGTTTAAGTAGCTCAGTCCGTTTTAATGTTTGCTACTGATGCGCAGCCTTACAAGCGCCCACGAATAAGTGTGCATTAAATGCATGAATGATGGTTTTTCAACCGTTGACCACGCATTTGCCCCACGATGGACCTTCAGTGTTAAGAATAATACTCCACGCTTCCCATTCATCAATACCGATTGTGAAGGCATAGTTTCCGAAGGGAGAAGTTTAATTTCAGAAACCGCATATGACCTCTCTAACTCAGATCAGTTGAAAATTAAAAACTTTGTTTGGCTTTTTTGTGACAATTCAGTAACCTTATCGTTCTCCATATGGCGGAGGAGATGTAGTGACATGTAGCGCACTTCTCATATGCATGGTCACAGATTCGAATTCCGGATTACCCTAAAATTCCATAGATAAGAGCGGGTGAACCTACCGGTGAAAAATGAACTGGAAAAAATCGAAATTGAATGCAGTCACCCCTCTAACTTGATGGATGGATAAATTAAACTTCGAAGAAGAAGTTAACAAGAAGCCCGCCCCTAAACCCTAAACCCCGCCCACTTAATAAACAATTCATATCGAAAAATAGCGATTTTAACGGATCGCTGTTTTTCTATATGAATTGTTTATTAAGTGGGCGCGGTTTGGAGCTGAGGGGCGGAGCTTCTTCTTAACTTCTTCTTCGAAGTTTAATTTATCCATCCATCAAGTTAGAGGGGTGACTGCATTCAATTTCGATTTTTTCCAATTCATTTTTCACCGGTAGGTTCACCCGCTCTTATCTATGGAATTTTAGGGTAATAGCCGACCAGGCCAACAGACCCTCCCATCCCTCTAGGATCAATTGTTACCAGAGTCGTCTGGGACGCTGCAACTTATACATGCAATTCTTGAACCGATGAGAATATTCGTCAAACCAATAGAGGCAGATACAACTTTTACGACAAACGGAAGGTTTCGCCTGAATTATCAAAGTTATTTCAGCTGCCGTAAAAATCACAAGCCAGTGAGGGGTTAACGACCTAATCCATATCGAAATGCAAAGTTGCGAGCGAAGAGGAAGCCCTGTTTTCAGCGGATTCGCTTAAAACAACATTACGTTGTTAGAAGTCCTGTTCAAAACATACTATGCAGAAGAAGAAGAATTGAAAGGATTTTCGATCAAAAGTTAAAATACCGAGAAAAAAACAGCAAATTTTGGAGATTCAAACCGGGAGGTTGGGGACCAAGACCTTTTCATCGAATAAAGTGAGAATTCTCATAAACCGGGTATGTTTTTGAAAATGTAGAGCAACAGCAAACGTGATAGCGAGTGTGTGAAAACACCGTTTTTCGTTTACACAAGTTGTAACGAAAAAAATTATTCATACAGTGTCTAACAATTTTTTTAGCAACAACGAAAACAGTACATCCATTTCCACTCCAAGAGGAAGTTACAGGACATTCAACAACCAACTATACTGAAAATATTCTGTTAAACAGCTATTGAAGCCTGTAGTTGTAATAGTTTGGATGTGATATGATGAGGAAACTTGTAATTGACAGTGGCAGCGTAGATTACGATAGCTTTTACCTGAATTAGTTCTAGTTGTCATCACGAAGAGTTTATTAATCCTGTATACGTTCCGTTGGAACAAAACAAACATCACATGAATCTCTGGAGTATGGCAATCTTGTTTCAAGCATCTATACATGATTGTTAATCACACAAAACAGATTAAACTGTGATTTACCTGTTTATTGTATCTAGCATTAACTGTTGCGCTGGAATGAATAGCGTCAACCATGCAACGCATAAGTTGTAGACAGAGATCCGGAATAACTTCGCGAACCTGAACGTAATAACCAGTTGAAAAAAGAACAAAATGTGCTAGAACTTTTTTGTCACCTTTTGCGGTATAAGGTGAAATTCTCCGACTATCACTGGGACTTGCTCTGTGTCCAAAGGGACTAGCCTTAGCTGTTGTGAGACACTGAAATCTACTATCAGCTTCACTTAATGATTTATTGGAATACGATGGAAACTTTACCTCAAAGCTCTGTCAGCGAGGCCAGATTCGCATAAATCTATCAGAATACAAACATCCATGAGTATGCACAACGTAGACAATACGCTCGCTCTTATATCCTTTTGGGCTAAGAAATTTTACTCATGACTATCACAAGAAGATTAGATATGGCTTTCTTATTACGACAAACTCACAGGAAACGAATTCTTCTGCTTGTTTACGCAGTTCATTCATCCTCGTCCTGTTAACCCTACAGCAAACAATAAGAAAAACAGTCGAGTGATTTTTAGGATTCGTAAAATACCTGATTGCATCGCTCAGCTCACCACACAACAGCTCAACTGCTCTAACGGGGGCGTTCGCCAGCATATAAAGATTTACAGCTTGAGCTGTGTCGCCCCCTAACTCTGTATCACGAGCTACACGGCTTATAATGTCGTTGCAATCTTCCAGATAACTGAACAGCTAAAGTTGTTATCAAAGAAATAAGAAGATCCTTCCCCCGTCAGAGGTACAGCAAGCTACATCTATCCAAAGTAATGTACAAAACAAAAGGCCCTGCCAAGTGTGTTAGCACGTTTGACAGGATAACTTGAAAGGAAAGAAACTGGTTAAACGGTGTTGGAGTATCGAACAGATGCCACAATTTCAAACTTACACATCGATCAAACCCGGGGTTCGTTTCCCATCTGGTGTAAGTGTCCCAATGATTGATTCCGCCTTGCCTGTGAGGTATACTGCTCTACTAACTGCTATGTCGAATACATCGCTACCAGAAGGCGTTTTGAGACCCTATAAAGGGGATTATTAAACTAGCTCTTTTAAACTTTGACGTCTGGCCCTACCTTCAAGATATACCAGTAGTCTAGCGCTCTCCCAACGTCGTCTAGCTCAAATTCTTTAGTGTAAGAAACGAGCAAACGAGCAATATTAAAACAACATTTTGTGAGTTGCAATGAATCCATTACTACTGGAAATAAATAATCGATGAAATTAGAAGGCAACTGAAGCAAATGCATATATTATCAATAAAACTATTGATAGAAATGGTGTAGCAGTAAAAACAGATTTAAAAAATAAGAGCTTAGTGAAAAAGGCAGCTAACACATTTCTGAGGATGCGTCGACGGTGTTTCGCAAATACCCCATCTCGTTCGTGAGAATGGCAATGTGAACGGCGTCAGAAATGTATCCATAGTCGAATAGTAGCTGGAAATATTGTTTCGTGAAGATTGGTTATTAATAGTAATAGCAAGTATCGTAACGCGATACGTATCCGACTTCAATCTGAAGCAACTGCAGGTTAATATTGGTCAGCTTGCCACAAAAAGGAGAAGCATGAAGGTTGTGACAGAACAGTCTCTACCAACGGCACGGTTGCTACGGCCAGGGATGACTACAACAATCATAACTGGGGGTTAATTACACCTTAATCGCCCGTTCGAACTGTCCAGAAAGCCAAAGAGCAGTGAAGTAATAATGGAACTCGGATGTACCGGCTGCCATGAAGTATGATTCTCCTGAAAGTGGTACTTTCCTTAAAAGTATAAGCTGCGACAAAAACCAAAATGAGCTAACCATAATCGATAGATACGTTCTTTTGAACCTCAGCGTAAAGAATTGGTGTTAGATGAGGATCAATCTTCAAAGCAAATAACTTGAACCAAAGCCAGTTTTCAAGTGAATCAGCAAGATTTGAATCTGAACAAAACAAACCACACTGATATACTTCTTGACAAGGTAAAAGAGGAATTTCTTCCGAAACCTACCCATCCCTAGCAGAGCTGCATAAAGACCTCTTTTATACTTGTCTTTCGTAGAATTAAGATTATGCCTCCATTCAACCTTCAACTTCTTTTTCAACTCCACGTCAAGCCTTAAATGTTGATGGTATAAACTGAAAAGCTTCAAGCCAAGCAACAACATCTTACTTGGTTTCTTTGCTTAAGTGATTTAAGCACGCAACAAGCACAGCGGCTTGAGGAAAATTGACTAAGAGCTCCAGAGCATCTCTAGCTGCGCAAAGATCTCCCGCTCGCAAGCAATGGTAAGTCACCTGTAGGAAGTTTATCATCAAGCCAGACAACACTTAAAACACATCCGAAGAGTGCTACCTCCCAAACCGGAAGTCCACCAACAGTTCCATCTTCTGCAAACGGATCGTCAGCTCCTACCTGAGAAACATCTTCACTAACTATATGATGAACAAAGGGGAGTTGAAAAAAATTAAAATTATACAAAACCTTGAGAAAAGCTTCAACAAGTCCTCTGGTACCAGGAACTCCCCCACGTTGAGCACGTTCGAGATTCCGTTCAACATGTGTATTCATGTGCTCAACGAACCTACAGAATCGAAATGAGAAAATATCAAGCAACTATTGCTCGAAAAACTCACAAATTTTGAAGATGATAGCAAGCTTTCTCGATCAGTAGACACACCGTAGTTAGATCATCACGCCCGCTAGGAATCTGAAAAGAGGAGAATAGGAAGAGAAAAGAAAGCAGTGCATTCATAGACAAACAATAGAACAGACCTTTCGATCTATCAAAGCGGTTACTTCAGTCCACACCCCGGCTAGTGCTCCATCTGTTCCACTTTCTTTAGCTGCATCACAGAACAACTGGCAAAGATCCCTCTACAAAAACACTTAACAGCTAAAAGTTTTCGAAACAAACGTAGAATCTTCAAATGTAAAACAACAACATCACTATCAGCTAGTCTGACCTTTTTCTTGCTGGTAAGAAATGTCCTCAGTTTTTCTGCAAAAATAAGATCACGCCTGCTGGAAACTCCTTTCATCTCGGCAGGGTACCTACTCGGAAGGATGCTCTGCAATAACAGCCACGTCAGATGAACCAAATCATAAGAACAGAAACAATCATTCATGTACTGTACTGCACATGCAAAAAATGGAAGATATGATAATTTACGGTCCAAAAATTTTCTAACTTTTAAAAGCTGGATAGACTACGTCGAGAAGAAGCCTCTGATCTTTAAACTACAAACGGTAAGCGTAAGCATGAAATGATGCAGGACTCTACTTTCATATTTACTGAATACAGGGTGTCAAAAAATTATGGAGGCCGAATCATTGCAATGTATTTGAAATTTCTACGCTAAGAATGACAGTGGAATCTACATGCATGTTGGCTTACATTATATGCTATAATCACATTTCAAAACATTTTCTTTAGCACGGGTATGGATCAAGTCTGTTCCCGATCCCCCATATTGCACACATCCCGCTTCCACTTCTTCCTAGCCGCTCTTGAATCTTGCTTTCAAGGATTCGAAAGTGGGGCTGCAAATCCGACAAGTTTTAAAACGCGTGGAGGAGTCAAGTGAGTTGAGATACTCATGAAGTCAGGTAGCTCGAGTCGGCACCTTGCCGCTGGGGGCAGAATAGTCGTCCTGCTGCAAGGAAGATGAATTGTTTGGGCTATCCAAAAACGATCGTTTTATCTGTTGGAGATTGCCTTTGCCGTCTTCTCGTCAAAGAAAGGATAGAGGGATGCGTGTTTCTCCTCAAATGGGTTAGCAACCTTCATTTTTGTGACAACACAATATCAGTTGAGATTGGAAATGGAGTGGCAATTCTGTACAAGATAGGAATGACAATGAAGCTTTGCTGGGTAATTCGCCCAGTTGAACACTCGATGAGTTCTGCTCAGTTGCCTTCGTTTTTATGGGTCACCGGGATCACAATCGATTGCAAACGAAGCATTCTGATAGATTTTTTTGGAAACACCTTCCGGGTTTGTCTTCGACTAGATATCTTCTCTGTATCGTTTCACAGCCTTCTATATTCATTATTGAAGACACAAGAAATTTTCAGACGCCCTTCCGCCTCATGCATACAAATGATTGAAAGTGACACCGAATGTATCTTCACCATCTAAAAGATATTGGGAGTCTCACTTCATGAACTATGCATATTGCAAGGAAACCTACTTGCGCAACTACAGAATGCGAGATGAATAATGTATTTTTGCCTTAGAAGTTTCTGAATTTGCGTCCTTAATGTTGGAACATTTTGAATAAAGCACTCGCGTCTATCGACTACCTGTATCGCTTATCGTCCCGTTGGTCATCGATTTCCTCGAGTGGGAACCAGTAATGTCCCTATCCGTCCCTGTCGCGAGCCAGAGTAGTAGTGAATCGTACTCGTTTGAGGGACACAGAATAAAACATTCTTCCTGACGTTCGTTTGACCTCCCGAGTGATCCTATGAGTAACCGCCCTGGACCAATGGTCAACACTCTATCACACAACGTGCCGGCCCACCTGGTTTTCGATTTCTTGGCGTCAACAGCATCCCTGAATTTCGTTCGTTGCCGGAGCTCAGGATTCTGAATTCCTCTTTGCACCTGCGTATATGAGGAAATTCCGATCACAGCGCGTGAACGACCCTAACTGCATGCTCATTCTGTTTCCGTAGAGTCCGAGTCTCTGAGGCGTATGCAAAGCAGGAAGAACCGCAGTGTCGAAAAGGTGAGCGCGGAACCGGATGTCATTGTCTTCTCACTACTCCTTCGATGTTCCTCAATGCTCCCCACGCTGCAGTTTTTTTTTCAGTTTTTTTTCTTATGGTCAGCTCCAGTGCTAGGATTTCTATAATATTGAACTCTCTGCCTAGACACAATAGCTAAAGCATCCGGAGAAGTTTGTTCCGTTCAGCGTGAAAAGAGCATGAGGTACCAATCTGTTCCACATAAACATCGTCTTCGTTAGCAGTCGTTATCCGATCATTGCACAAGTATACTTGAATTCGGACACCATTTGCTCCGCCTCCTGCTTGTTTCCAAGTGGTATAACTACGACGTCATATCAAAAACGGAGATCTTGTGAGCAGCGGCTGTCGACCTTCACTCGCATGTCTTCCCATCCCATATGACGCATGATGTTCTCGAGACTGGCGTCTGCACTAAAAAGTTTGGGCGAGTTGGCATCGGCATCGAACCCCATTCTTCACATTGATGATGACTTAATGGCGAATGGCGTCTGTCTGTGTGTAACAAAAGCCGAGATTACCTGAAGAAACACCTGAGGAGGCGGATGAAGTTTGAAACGGCTTGGGGAAAGGGCAAGATCAACAAAGCACATGTGAGCTCAGCGTAACTCTTCCCAAGGGAGCGATACAAGCACACGAGCGGGCGGTGCCATGACCAGAGCTATTTAATTAACTTTCAGATCAATCCAACGGCGGGGAAATGAGCAAAGGTGAGGGATGGGACAACAAATGATGTGGTGGAGACCCTGCCCGGAGATTGGCACGCCCTCACAGAGGGCGGTACTTTCTACATAAGACCACAACACTATTCAACGAGGGCCTGGAGAGCAGAGAAAAGTCGAAAGAGTGGGTAATGTCTGATAAGTGTTGAGCACTTGACAATTTCGCGAAGCTCCGCCTACGATGAGCGGGCATGTATTCAAGCATAAAGTACTTTCCGCTTAAGAGTGCGTAGAAAAAGGGTTGCAGGCTATCGAAGGAATGTGGCTGAATCAGCAAAAAGGGCAATGCTAGCATTGAGGTGGGCTGGATTGGATCGGAAATTCATAACTGACCAAAAGGATCTAAAACGCAAAAAAGTATCTAGAGGCTATGGAAGCGTCGACCCATAACTCGGTTCAATAACATTCTAGAATGTGGAGCAAATGTTTGGGCGCAGCCGAAATGTCAAGGTGAGCGGGGCCTGCAGTGAGGTGAGCGAAGCTGATCAAACACTCTCAACAACATTTTAGAATACCCCCAAAAATGCATATAGACTGCCGAAGGAAGGATGGCCAAATCCACAAAGCGAACGGGGATTGTACTGAGGTGGGAGGGGCCGAGATCAAAGATTGACAATTCTGCTTGGAGATGTTTGTGATGTTCAAAAATCGTTCCATATGTGAGGTCAGCATCCTCACTTACTACCAAAAAAAATCATCATCATAACTTCCTATATGTAGGGTAATCGCTTCTGTCTCTCTATGTAACTGCACCGAAATTTGGTACCACCTAAAAAAGCACCCAAAGAGGCAGGGTAAATTCTGGGATGATGGGGATTCGGGCAAGGCCAACAAGCACGAGACAGAACATTCGCCCGTTTGGAGATGCACGCGGCAAAATTCGGGGCGATTAAGACGACTTGGCGTTTATCCACGCGGAGGAGCTTGAAGTAGAGCGGATTGATACGGTCGGCTGATAATATACCTCGAAGCTCTTCTAACTTCCCTTCCCTCACTCTTTCGCTTTCCGTTTTCTTTCCTGTCAAAAAATATTTCAATGTCTAAAATTGTTAGTAGTCTAAATTTGAGGTCCTTCTTCACGATCAACCGACCGTACTAATCTGCTCTATAGCCACGAATTTTGCCGCGCAATTCGCCAAGTGCATCTCTAAACGGGGAAAGTACCCCCACGCAGAGCTTATATGGGCACAAGAGAGCCCCGCTCGTAAGCGACGAAACATGCTACGAATGGGCGACGCAATAGGAGATCCTTCAAGATTTCGATCTAGAAAAGCATAGACACCACATAGACAAAGGTTAGGAATGGGGCAACTAATCAGATGAATGAGACTCATAAGCGGAGCATTTTCCAACTTTCTGCCTCATAATCCAGACCCTCCTAATCCAGATTTGTTGAAAGTTGGAGCTCCAATCGAAAAGCTCGCTCCTGCTCGATGCGTCCTTCGTTGTGATGCACGCGTAAGTGCGGAGCCCAACTGATAATCTAGTAAACTATAAAAACGACTTTTTGCTTTCTTTTCAACTTTGAAAACGGTGTCTACGAACTTTGAAAACGTTGTCCACGAGAAATCCCGTTCTGTTCGAGATGTGCAAGAATATACATTCACCTTAGACGTCAACTTTATAGAAGAGGTTATAGGCGGTTTTGGACGCGAAAGGAGTACATGGTTGAAAAAGCACCGCTCCGTTTCTAGCCGGACGCGTTCTCGGTCTACATCGATCTAAAAGAACTTGATTAGCAATAAAAAATTTTATTGGGACTATAGAAATACCTCTAGTTCATCACTGGATTGAGGAACAAGCTGCGATTCCTTGAGAGCGGGTACAGAAGTCCCGAACACTACACCCTTTTCTCCAAATAGAAAACTTTTCTATAAGAATATGTGGTCAATGTATTAGAATATTTGAGGATTTCAGCTACATTTTCCGTGCCCTATTCACTGATAGTTCATGAAAGTGGTAGAAATACCTTCATCGGGACAGAGCCCGAATTCGTTTTCCATAAGTGCTCACTAGCGCGAAATATGCTGTTGAGATCTTTATCGAAGGTGGTGCCACTGTAAGGGTTATCCTGAAGAAAAGGAGCTATTTGTACCATATATAGCCTGTAGGGTATCTGAAATGAACTAGCGAGCGTATTCCTTGAAGGTATGCTGAAATATTAGCATGTGTGAAGTTTTTCAGAGATTTGCATCACCTAATGGCACTTTCCCTTGTAACAAAACAAAAGCATATCAAGTGACGATGTTGAATCAATAATCGAAAGGTTCCCAAAAGTGAGGGTGAGGATCACAAAGTTGACAATGCAGTAAAAGTATTTTTGATCTGAAAATACAAGCTAGAAATCTTTTTGTTTTCCTATTTTTCGCAAGAGTTCAATGTTCTGGAAACACCTTTTAAAAGGGAATAGTGTAATATGAAAAATTATTGTAAGATGGAAAACAAATAAGGCTTGTTTGGTATTTGTTTTTGTCACCATGAAGGAAGTTCAAAAGTTCCAGCTCCCATGCCTAACACAGGAATAATTTATGGCTGGATCCTCTCAATCAAGCTCACCTGTAAATGCACGAACTAAGATCTCTAGTTCCATAAGACGAGATTGTCCATAGAAAAAAGCTTAACTTACCTGCGGAGAAATGTCCGAAAACCGGCTATTTTTTTTGCTTGAGAGGAAATTGTTGATTTTAGAGTGGTATTTGGATGATGAGAGGCTTTCAGCTCTGCTTAAAATGTCATCAAACATGGCCATTGTTCATCCAGATGATAGAACGGTTCTAAATAATTAGATGCGCAAAATTCGTCACAAGTAATTGCACCGATGAAGGAAGACGACTTCTAGTCCATAATGTGAATACAATAACAACAACAACAACTTGACAACATGGTTTCTTTGTTAGTACAAAGAAAGAGCAGACCTAAATGATGTCCCCACAAAAGCACAGCTATATCAAGACGAGCTCAAAGCCCAGAACAAGGCTTGCTTGCTGAATTCGAAAAGGATCCGTGGGCCCACGGTTACGTGACTACTTGAACTTTCTCTGCATCTCTGACGGCAAGAGGCTAGAGCCCAGAGAAAAACACCCCCGGTGAAGCCTACGGCGGTGGTGGTGGGGGTCCCATTGGACAGGCGAGCACAACACGCAAAGTCCACATCAAACGGGAGTGCGCCAGACAAGGGCAGAAAAATGACGCATCCGGCAAATTTAAAGGAACCGAGTTCAAGTAGTCCGTAGGCCGTGGGCCCACATGGCACTAGAGCAACTTTTTGACTTAGAGCATACGCCGCATACATGAAATATGAGACTTGAGTCGATCATTAACGAGGCTACGTTGCATGACAGTGTGCGGCGGATAGGGGAATAAGTCGCGGATCAAAGTCACCGGTAGGTGACTACAGACACAACAGGATGGGTAAATCTATAATTTCCGGGTCCTTGTATGAATGTCCATGCATGGCCGTTTTCAAGCTGGAGAAAAATTGCTCCTTGAAACATGCGACAGCAAAGACTTTGGCGATGTAGGTGTCCTTGTCACTTTGCCATGAAAACCGATTTGTACGAAAGCTTGGCAACCGGAATCGGACGTTTGCGATTCAAGCCTAAGTCTAACAATCGTCCTTACCTAGGCACCAACGTCACGCCACGACGAAGAGTAGCCGGAAACACTTTATATAGGCCTGAGAAAGCTTGCTTTACAGAGAGGACTACACTTTTTCAAGGACATCGTCGATGATTTCAACGCCAAGATTGGCCCCAGGCGAACAGCTGAAGGACTACATATGGGACACACGGAATAGAATGGAATTAGCAAGGAGACAGACTGTCCAGTGAGATTCGCAGTTCCATGAGCCCTCTCACTTGCGATCTACTTGGGAGTCACCTGGCGGACACAGTAGATGATACGTGAAGTGAGCCGCTCGCAAAAGTAAAGCTTCATTCTTTCTGTCACTGATTATCTTTATCACTGAAGAGAACACTCTTCCACCTCCACATTTCAATGAACACTTGAAAATGTAGCAGCAATGCTCAGACCATAGTTATAGAGCAAGTGTAAGAAAAAATAAAAGAAAAAATCGTGAGAAATGCTTCGATATGTACAAAGGTAATGATAGATGCTCTGAGAGCCTTGTCACACAATTGAATTAGCAAAAAAATTCATTGGAAACCCGTTTTCCAGTAGTTATACTTGATTCAAACACATGTTCAATTTCCTAATTCAATTGAAGATATCAATTTCAGATCGTGGTCCTGTTGAACGGGGTGTGATCGCAGTCGTGCCCATTGTAAGTGTCGCATCGCAACGAACACGAACAAGACAAGCGCGAGAACCGCGAATGAGTACTTGATGCAGTCGACCAGTTTCGGTATGAAAACAAAACCGAGCCAAATCTTTGTATAGGTGCCATCGTGAAGCACGGCGTGAGAATCTTCCCAAAACATAGGAATGATTGACTCAGTGATATGACGATTTTGTCTGAATAGATTTTATTTTGCTCTGAATTTATGCTAGAAAACTTAGGCTCACTCACATCACTACTCTGCTTCTCATAACTGGCATTGAAACTTGTAGCCGGTAGAACACTTCTGTTATTGAACCGGAGTACTTAAAAGCGACAATTAGTATTTATTATGTCACCTGTTGGGCTCCACCCACTAACGCGTGCGTCACAACAAAGAACGTATCAAATAAATGAACTTATTATTTGAGCTCAACCCCTCAAGAATCTGGATATAATAGGCTATGGTGAGTTATGAGTTTATGCAGTAATTTCGAGACATTCCTGAACTACGCCCACTTTTCCCGGTGACTGAACTTTTCAGAAACAAAATATAAAGTCTTTCCCTTGCACCACCGATTCCGGTGCAGATTTGTTGGGAAGCTTTGCGAACTTCACAGACGCTCAGCATATATTAGACCTTACCTACTCTTTCTAGTTTTCTTTTCTGGCCTCCAAACTTTCGTTTAATGGCATTATTAACTTATGTACTACTATTAACTTATGTGCCACTGGGAGGGCGACACCCACCATCCTTCATTTCTTTGTTGACCCGTTCCCCTCATTTTCTCACATTTCCCCAGATCTGAAAAGTGCGCGATTTAAGGGAGCTTTCCACTGGCGGTATCACGTCACATGATTTTTCTGTTGTCGACGAAAAGATCGGTAGTATTCTACTATTACACCCCCAAAAACTCAAAATTTTAATTTTCGATGAAACTTCGCCTATAGGGGTAATCCGATGCCCTGATAACGAATATAACCTTCACTTTCGGCGCTGGCGCCATTTGGCGGCAATTTGGCGCCGAGGGTGTTTTCACCAAATTTGCTGAAAACCTGCGTTTAGGGGTTATTTGAGGTCCTGATAACGAATATAACGTCCATTTCTGTGTCCTCAAACAACGAATAAAACTTTTACTGAGCCACGCCATATGGCTCGTGGTGAAGAGAAGGGTGGTGGCTTCTGTGACTTAGCTTTGGGAAAGGAACGAGTCTCAAGCAGTGCTCTGCCTTTCCATCCTCCCCCCCCCCCTTGAAGGCTCAATATCGGAAATGTGGCCCTAAAGAGGGCCGTTGGGTTAGTGTACGTGAGATGCCAGACCGTTCAGCAGGGATATAGTGCCGCAACTTGATCCCAGAAATTGAGAACCACCTCCCGTCGACCTTCGAACTCCTACCTTTCCTAGGAACTCACACAAGTAGTCATCGTAGCGTGAGTTATTAATTCCAAAGCGCCGCTTACACATCGCTTTGTATTTACTAATATGTATTTATATACTAACATGTAAAGCTTACAGCTTAACGGTTCTGTGCTGATATTGGCCGGCCGGCTCAACACGTTGTACGTGTGAGTGCTGATAAGCTATGGCATATAAGCCATTAAGAAGGCGCGGGCAAGCGGGGTCTCGGTAGTGTAAGGGATAAGAGCACGGTCCCCGGAAAGGACAAGTGCGGGTTCGAGTCTCGTACGAGACTGGAGTTTTGCCCACAAATCGTCATTCTTGTGAGGCTTTGTATTTCTGCCACAGCGACTTTACGTTTTGAGTATGGGCACCAGTTTGTGGGTCTACAAAATTCAACTAGTGATTGACCTAGAGGTGCCGGTAAGCATTGGGCAGTGCGGCGATCTGACTTCAGCAGTCACTAATGATCGTCGTGCCAGGTGTTATATACTTTCCGATGGGACGAAGCAGAGTCGGAGCGTCCCTCCTTCGTACAGCCTCAGAAATGCTCGTCCGCCTCCTCTCTCGATACCGCCAAAAAGCCACTGGTGTCTACGTACCCATCGACCACGATTGTACTTTCTTCCCGCCACCAGCGTTTCGTCAATCTCCACTGTACATCCAAACCCACCAATAACTGGAGGATTCCTTCCGTAGTGCTCGGCGTAGACGTCGCGAAAGTACTGCTCCTACTGGACAACACTACAGTGACCGATGTTAAGTTCGTAAACCTTGTCCTTCACGGTAGCCGTGCCACGCAGCCAGAAGTAGCTGAGCGCAAACACGGCCGACCCTGCGAGGTTCGACTTCTCGAAGAAGGAGCCTTCCGAGCTGGAGCATACACCTTCGTTTCGTTCGATAGCCCAGTTCGGCATGATCGACGGTGGCACACCCATCCGTTGTGGTGCTCATCGTTTCTGGGACTCATAGATCCTTGACAAAGAGGGCACAATGGCAACGCCAGCAGCCCCATGGATCGCAGCCACTCCTGTAGATCCAGATGATCCATTTGCATCTTCTCGTACACGTCCTTCAACGAGAAATCGAGTTGCTGGCGATTGCGCCTTCTCAGAGCGTTGAGAGCCATCACAACACACGTTCACAAGTTGTGAAATGAAATAGTGATGACCGTCTCATCAGAAGTTTGTCATCAGCCATGGGAAAGTGCCTACGTCATCCCCTTTCCCACAACCTGGCTGTCTTCAACCAAGGGAAAGCGCCTCGGGTCACATCGTCTCCCCCACAACCTGTATGCCTTTTCGTCGCGCCAAATAGCCTCAGCGCGTAAAATGGATGTTATATTCGTTATCAGGACCTCAAATAACCCCTGTGCACAAGTTTTCTGCAAATTTGGTGAAAACACCCTTGCCACCAAATTGGCGCCAATTGGCGCCAGCGCCAAAAATGAAGGTCACATTCGTTATCAGGGCATCGGATTACCCCTATAAGCGAAGTTCCATCGAAAATTAAAATTTTGAGTCTTTGGGGGTGTAACAGTAGAATAGTACCAAAGATCGTAGTTATGCGTCCATTGTACCGTGTAAGTTTTGATAAAATGTCGTTCTAGTTAGTGCTGGGAATAACGGCGTCAAGCGAAGTCACCTAACTGCACTCCTCAACCCCGACGCTATTCTAGTTCGATGACAGATTTTCAACTAACCCCTGATATTCCATCAACGAAAAGAACCTGTGAATGCCTTTACCCTAGGTTTATCTTCACAGTAATAAAGCGGATAGCTATATTGCTCAGAACCCGGTCAAAAGAGTGAAAGTATTGTTTGCACATCTGAAAAACTGATATTCTAAAGTCAAAATGCAGCACTTGGAAATAGTTCGTGAAAAAAAATCGGAAAGCATTCTCACCGGCTCATGACTATAGACCATCGGCAGATGACTCTCATTGTTTGGACTGACACCGATGACGGAATTGATCACTTGAGGTGGGGAGTAAAGGAAATGCGGTGGGGAATACATCACAGCAAATGGAGTTGGTTGGAGTCGACCTGCAACAAAGCGCTAATACGTGAAAAGACTGAATCTGGCTCCGTCGCTGAGCCGTTGACCATGCATTCGCCGCTAGAAGGCTCACCTGGATAGCAGACGAGTGGGAAAATTCCGGGGGGAATTAGATAGGTGCCGTCTACAAAACTGCCATTACAACAGTTGTGGCAGAGGTTGTTCTGCAGTGAACAGTCCACAGAATACAAATTTTCACATTTGTGTGGGTCTCGACTGAAACGAGGGTCATACTGTTAATCATAGGACTGCACCAGAATTCTGAAATGTTTCGGTGAATATGGCAACCAATAGAAACTCAAAGAAAATAACCTTTTACGACCAATCGCTCGGTTCGTACCTTTTGAACCACTTTACATTTAACGTTGTAGGGAATTTTGGAAACCAAAACATGCATTACGATAAAGTATGCACTCTGAAGCGTTTTGATGGCAGCACGGCTCAACGGTGAGCCACTTCTCACTGGTTAAATTTCTTATTATTTACCTTTTTTAAAATTTTTGCAGTCAGTGGGTACACAATCTTCGAATAGTATAAATATTATACACCAAGTTGGCTGAGAGAAACATTATTAATTCCTGAATCCTTCTCGTGAAAATCACTATTAATGTGCATTTTTTGGAAGCAAAGTGGCTTTTCTTCTACCACATCCAGAGACTCGCCCTGTATTACTGGAAGTGTAAAAACGTCCGTAGTCGCGATATAGTTGTTTGTAACAACTTTTTCGTCACACTCCTGTCCTTGACTTTCATTGCCATAACTTTTTCGGTTTTTCTTGAAGTCCCGAACAAGTGGGCGATACATCTCTACAAGCTACAGCCAGAGGTACGCTCGATTACAAGTCATTGGTATAGACCCTCCATCGGTTCTACAACCTTAGATACAACTATAAGATTATTCTTTGAGGGTTTTTTTCTGGGCGTAGATCTTGGCCGTCCATTTGTTCTCACTTTTACAGTATAGCCTGAAAGTTTAATTCCATACTTGTGCCTCTTAGGAAGGACATGCTGCTTGAAAACTACTCTGCCACGGGTAGCACGAATGGCTCATCAAGCAAGTTTCGCTTCAAAATCTGTAGACTTTGACGCAGTTCGAGATCTCATTGAACAGTCCCAATGAACTAGTAATCTTGCACAGTCAAACTGATTACCACTGCAAAGTTAGGAGAATTCCATAGTTGCTCAAATTATTTGGAAACGAAACCTACGATTGGCCGTGAAACGACGGCAATCTAATGCTCAAATCGCAGGTTTCGTTCCCTAATAACCTCCCAGCTTGGGCATCTGCGTTCCAAATCTGCTGAACAATTCTATGAGCAAAGTTACGAGACCTGTCATCCAGTTATATCACTGCACCGAACAGATTGCCGAACCGAACAAAGCCGCTGCTGCACAATGGTGTAGGATGATGGATCGATAAGCACGATATCAAGGTTCTATTTCTTGATGTGTGCACTTGTTTTTTATCCATGAAATGCATCCTAAACGCTTGCAAAATGTTTTTGGGCTCAATATTGGCCAACTGTGGAGCTCCCTCACAATTTATTATAGGATTCCGGGAAAGAGCAACCCAATAATTTTTTTATCATCATGACCGTATAGGTGCAGCTCTCCACCCCAAATACTGAAGATGGTCTTTCCGAATTTTCGGCAGCTCCCTGCACTTACGGCAGAGGGCGGGCTCATGAGTCACCTGACCAGAACCCTCAGTGGAAGGCTACGGTTTTCACATTTGAGGGATACTGTCCGCACTATGGAATTCTCTGAAGCAACAGTTGGTCGATTTATGCTCACATGATAATCCACTAACTGTCAAGAAATCCCTTCCCGAGATAAAAGGGTAATGTGGAAGGACATGATACCACGGCTGGGCTCCAAACTCTCAATTCCCCTACAACTTGCTTTGGAGTTGACCTTTATGAGGACTTTACTGTTGATTTTAATGGTCATCTATTGAAAATGACTGTCATGCAATGAAATCTAGATTAATTTCATAACTTATCCTTAGAACTTATCCGCTAATCACCATTAACAGACAGATCGGCATTGTTTTGCCTCTGATAACTACAACCAGGTAAAACACCGTACCATAATTGACGAGTACAGACCAATTCGAAAGCTCATGATTTCTTGCTTAAACTTAAACTCCGTTGATAGCACTCGCTTATGATGGAACAAGGCTTGTTTTCATGCACGAGCAAGTGCGGCTTACACAAAGTTGGAGGCTGACCGGTGGAATCCTCATATCCCACAAGCAAACGAGGTTCCTCTCGCAAAGTTCTGGGTCCACCGTCGCTGTTATCATCAGGCTACTGAATAGGATCATTGGGATCTATTTTCACGGGCTCATCTTCCTCGCAGTAGATGACGCGCTTGTTTACACATGCTCGGAAGAAAGATTGAAGAGCTCCTTATTACCTTCCCTTCTTTCCTAGGTGGCTAGGGTTTGCTGGAAAATCGGAGGTCCTCCAACAAATAGAATGACACCACCTTTGGGAAAACTATTTCGCTCATGACAAGTTGAAGAGAAGTTTGTCCCAATGAATAATTCAGCACCGAATGCTGATGCCCATCTTGAGCTAATCTTTAGAATTCCTCTTCTGCTTGAACAGAGCTGTACCTCTATTCTGCCTTTAGATAGCGAGAGAAACTGCCCTCGTAATACCTTCCCGGTGTCCCCAAGATGTGAGGAAGCTCAATATCGAATTCAAAAACGTTTGGCAAGCATTTAGAACGCATTGCACGAAAAAGCAAAACGCGCGCACGCATCAAGGGTGCGAAAGGCGGTATACATCTTATCTTGACAGGTGCCGCGACCGGTGGTGCGACCTAGTACCCTTAACCTAAAAGTCGTCATGAGTTTCGGCAACTTTAAACAAATTGTCTTCACCTTTGCTGCCGGATATGATGAATTCTCGTTACTTTCCAGATTAGATCTATCATCCGTGGATAACACTAACCAGTAAGGCGTCAATGCAAAGAGAGTCATTTAGTGTGGCTCCTCCATGTCGTCATGGATTCGACCAAAAGTTCTTCAAAACCGCTCTACGAATAATCTATTCCCAAAGCTGTGATGTGCATGAAACTAGAATTAATCGGAGCAGAAAAACTATAATTAGCTAATTCACACTTGGNAAGTAGAAATTAATATGCCAAAAAATAGCAGGAGAAAGAACCAATCTGAGACAGCGTGACTCAACGGTGAGCCGCAGAAGCGGAAAGTTTCGAAACGTGCCTGTCCCATGCGCCAGACATGCTAAAAAGGCGCGCTGTCGTCGAAGGGATAGAGAATATTAGCAACCAGCTCTTCGTACGGCTAAGTTTCAGGCCACCAATATGAATTCTAGGAAACTATCCAGAAGCACAGTTTTTGGAGAATACAACTATCATCGCACATGTGCTAGGAAATGTTCAGAGGACAAGCGTCGGGCCTTGTTAAAAGCCGCGACCCACTCAATTAGTTTCCAAAATTCAGTATGTGCTAGGAGATGAAGGAATTAGCGTGCCTTACTCGCTATTGAGGTTACTAATTCCGTTTTAAGTTCGTTGGTTTAAGCTGAAACTAGATAGGAGTCGGTCTTCGTCACATGTGATAAGCAACATTCCAAAAAGTTTCTGAATGCTTTTGAGCCTTGGAGGACGAACTTGTCGAAGCGTCAAACGTAATATGTATATGTTACATCACACCTGCACAGCACGGAGGCACTGGATGCTCATGAAGCAACGAATTTTTAGGTCTCAAGAAAGGCAAACGTATCCATTACGTCCAAAGAATTATTCTTTTTAGTGATATTCCTATCATGGGTCTGACCTAAATGTCTAAATGTCTTCCGCTCCTATGCACAACTAATGTTCTCGCGACGCTTTTTTTATTACTCTTCCCCGAGGGCAACAGCTGGCTCGGGAGAGACGGCATAGCTCCAGTATGCAGAGAATAAACGGCATGTACTTATATTACTAAATTCGCTATACAGAATGAACATTATCTATTCCCTTCCGCTCACTCCTGACACGCTCAAGACTTGTTACTCTTCGTAATAGCAAATGAGGAGTAACTCAGGAAAACAACGATGACGTCGAAGGCATTGTGTGAGAAGGGGTCAGATAGTATTTCATGCATGAACAACTCCACCACGTGTGAAGTTCAGTTCAGTTACTTCCTACCACCTATCATCAGTGGTGTTCCGATACTGCCGCCGGGACTCTTGCTCAATTTGAACGCTCTAGATGCACGGGAACAGTACATATGAATTTCCGGTCAAATACATGCACACACCTACACACACACACACACACCGGGAAACCAACAGAAACATGGTGCGTAATACATACTTTATTTTATTTTTTTTTGTAATACACGCCATACATAGACATGAGAAGGAAAACAAGGAAATATGGATCACCCGGCTAACAATAAGGCCTTACTTGAGAGTGACATTTTTCTGGACCAAAGTTCGGGGGTGAAAGTGGTATTCGTGTGTACCGATGCTTATTATGCCATGATTATAAGAATCGATCTGTCCATCTTAACCCATTGGCGGCCGCGTGAGACGTTGTCGGGCCACACCATATCGTGCTGCTGTAGTAAAGGATGAAGGATAAAGTTTTTGGCGTTAAACAATCCCGTCTGAGGGATGTGCCCCCGCACTCGACTTCTATTCAGAATCGTAGTAGCGTAATGAGTGCGTGTGTGGCCTATACAATGACATGCGGTGGCCAGTCGATGTACAAGTCAGTGCTTTTATCCTCCCAGACGAGTCTGGTACCAATTGACCGACCCCGGAAGGATGGAAGGCTTGGTTGGCCTAGGCGGGCATCCATCCGGGATTCGAACCCCTGACCGTGCGTGTGATATAGTGCGCCACTTGCCACTACACCACCTCCGCCCTCTTTAGTATTTATAGTATATATATTTATTGAGGCATCGTAGTCCAGAAATCATTCTCTTCCGACACTTCCAACTACAGTTATGAGAGAAATAAAAAGTTAATGTAAGGAAAAACGGTTCAATAACCAACGTTTTTAAATGAGCTCACAAATGTTGTCGTGTGGTAATAACACCTTTATCAGATGTTGTTGTTAATGGAAGTTCTTTTCTATAGGGTATATCATTAGTTGGGAATCTCAGATCATCCCCGGTCGGAAAAGTTTCATCGCAAATGATGTCGAGAGAAATATGAACCGTGGTCCTTCGTTGTGTTACAAACCTTGCCGGGTAGCGGTAGGAACCTATGAGCAGGAAGTGAACCAAGTTCCCATCTCTCCATATTGTAGCGCATTCGTTCAATCTCTAACATCACCATGACTTATCGAGTGAAACATGAAAAATAGTCAAAGCCAGATCGTTAATGCCAAAGGGATCCACTTCGTAAGCGACTCTTGCACCACAAAGTTCCTTATCGGCTCTTACCAGTTGTTACCAGTTATCACAAGAACCTACTGCCACGTCGCATTCTCAAGACCCTACTTGAAGGCCTATGTTCCACTGGTAGGAGAAAGGGTGTTCCCGAGTTGGTGGCTCTACATCTATTGCTCTTCGTCACCGCTTATCGCTTGTGAATGGTCCTTCAAATCCCACACCGACTACTGTGCCTGTTAAGTGCCAAGCCTTCACTGCTAATACGAAGGGCGTTATACACCTAGTGGTTCTCCCTTTCTAGGACTTTTTATCAGTTTTAACAGATGGTATCAATTCCTGTCACCAAAAGACTGCGGTCCGTACGTACGTACATACATACATACATACATACATACATACATACATACATACATATATATACATATATACATATAGACATATATACATAGTATAGTCATATATAGTAGGATAGTAGGAGAGTGATATAAATTTTCAATACAATTAGCGGGCTTCGACTTTCATAATTACGAAATGGCTAGCTTACTCTGGACAAGATGGCCAATCCGGAAAGTAGTTGACTTTTTCCACGTTCTTGTAGCGAAAACCGGCGTTCACATCCGCTGTCGTGTCATAGTCATCATAGGGAACGTAAAACCTGTGAAAAACCCTTTTTCAATTGTACTCTGATTAGCATGAAATAATCTTCCAAACCAGAGGAATATGAAAGTCAGCATACGTGTAGGAAGGAATCCCCTGTATGGTTTTCTCTTCGAGGAACGTTTTTGTGAACGATCTGCACATAAACGACTGGAAAAATGGTAATTCGTCGGTTTTTTCCAGATGCATTTTGCAGAAACTCCCCGAATCTGAACTGGTTAACGATGAGTAGAATGGGTCTTGTAACAATTGGTCAATCCCAAAATGGCTTCACGCTCCGTGAGGTAGTAACCCTCTCGAAATGAGTTTGCTTTAGAAGGACATTGCTGAAATCTAGTCAGTTGTTTGGCTCTCGAATTTTGCTGGCTACAGCCATGCGACTTCATTTCATAATGGGAGCTTTTTTCGGAAATAAGGAGAAATTGTAAGTAACACTGCCACTCTTCGGTGCAGCACTTGTTCTATTAGACAGATGTACTGAAACCTAGTACAGTGCGCTTCATAAGTATAAGATCACCCGCGGATTTGGTATTTACAGGATAAGCAGCCGAGCAAATATCTTTCTGACACACCATTAAATTACTCAACTTTTATATTAACATTTATATAGATTATTTTCGATTTTTCCGCCGTCTCATAAGTATCAGATCACCCCGTGCGAATGTTTCGAAATCGAGTGCAGCAGAATTTGCACTTGGAGGGATCCCTATAGGAGAGAATGTGTTGCAAATATGTTCAAAAGCAATATGCACTTTGCGTAAGTCATCTTTCTTTAGAAATAAGCAAAAAATCGAAATCTTCGTACGGGTACGGGTACGGGGTTCGGTGTGAGGGCAATTAGGAGGCAAATCGTGAGACCCCTCAGCTCCGTTCAAAGATGTTTGAAGACTACAGAGCTCCCAAGTGGACAGGACGCCCGCGCAAGCTAACCGCGAACCACGAGGGGAGAATGTTAAGAGCTATTCCGAAGAGCCGTGTCGTTGAACCAAGTTCGATCGGAGTTGGGTCTCTCGGTTTCGAAACTACTATATGGAGAGCCGTGAAAAGAGCAGCAACGTTGTCAGGGCAGCAATGAAGGGCGCCACGAGGCTTACCGACCATCATACGAAGGCTTGAATTTGCGAAGTAGAGTTTGGAATGAGATTGCACGAAAGCCAGGCTGTGTTACCGATCAGCCACATGTCAATATTCTCGTTCAGGTCGAATTTTTGGATGAAAAGAAACTTAGCTTGGACGGCCCCGATGGTTACAACTAGTACTGGCATGACTTACACAAAAAGAGCCGATCAACTCTAACCGTCGCAATTCCGGAGGAGGAAGTGCCATGGTACGCTGTGTCAGTTGCTTTGTGGCCTCCAAAGTGGACTCTAAAGACTATCAGGAAGTCTTACAATGGCACCTGTTGTCATCTCTGAGTCGGCGACGTGGTCTTAACTATGTTTTTCAACAGGACAGTGCAGCAATCTACATTAGTCTCCACGAGAGACCGGCTGCATTCTCAAAATATCGAAGTTCTGGCATGGCCAACTTGCAGCCCCGATCTGAACCCGATGGAGAGCCTGTGGGGCAACAGTATAAGAAAGATCTGTGCTAACAACCGTCAGTTTCAGATGACGGAAGAGCTGAAGAAGATAATAATCAAATCTTGGAAAGAAATCTCCGACGAGGCACTTCGAAACCTTGTATGTCATGCAGACTACTCGATATTGGGCTAGAACAAGGACCCATCGACTACTAATTGGTTTTTTTCTGTCGTTACTGATGATAATTTTTTGAAACTTCTCAAACTGATTTTATACTTATGAAGCGGTGCAGAAACAAAAAGTTAATTATAAAAATGTTATTGTAGAATTTGGTTTGGAAACTGTCCATGAGAGGGGGTTATTCAGGCTGGTGAGTCTGATAGTAGTGCTTGAAACTTATCTGTTTGGCTGCTTGTCGTGCAAACACCAAATTTGAGGGTGATCTTATACTTATGTAATGCACTGCATATCAAGGACAAATTACCCCCACCGGAGCCACGGATGCTTCTCGCGTATGTGGTTGGCCACCAAGATTCCGGTAGTGCTGACTGGTTCGCCCACATGATTATTCGACCTATTTGGTTGATGTCAGCCTTTCCCGACTCGATCCAGTAGTTCTCATCACGGCTGTTATTGTACTGAAGTAGACCATATTGATCTAATATAGATAAAAAACAATGAGAAGAAAAATCACGGTACTCCTTGGAAAAATCCCAGACGCGGCATATCTGGTATCGGGATCGGAATAATGCTTTTTCCACCATTAAGAACGCCACTGAGGAAGTAGACGATCTAAAAAGAATAGATCAATGTTTGGCTGAAAATATGAAGGATCGAGTCGAGGTTCGATTGACAAAATATCGAGAATTTTTGGTAAAGTCTCGGTACAGGGGACCTGCAGTTGGCTTCGATTCAAGTATGGAGATGAATGAAACTATCTATGCTATTTACAATCCGAGATTGCGAATGCAATAAGGCTTGCAAAGAAGTGTAATAAAAATGCTTGCATGTTTAAAGGGTAAGGAGTAGGAAGAATGAAAAAAAAACAAAAAAAACAATAAATTAAGTTCTGGACCATTGAAGACAGAAACTAACTGAGGGATAAGGGAGAAGGACAACGTTGTGTTGATATCGATGGATAGCAGGAAAAGGTGAGAGAGGTGGGAAGAAATGACCACCGGAAAAAGAATTCAGGGACGAGGCGTTAAAGGCACAGCTCACGTTAATTTTGGGGTATCCGGTTTTTTGGCAAAATTTGACAAAAAATGCTAGATACGGCCTGCATTAGTACAATAGTAAAAGAGAAAACGCGAAAAAAGATGAATATAAAGAAATAGAGAGCTACAAAAAACAAGGGAAAAGGGGGGTCGGACGAGCTAAAAGGCGAAAAAACGGCGATAAGAATTTTTCGGGCGAGTCAGACAAACGCGACGCAGTGTCTGCCATTGCACACAACACACCAACAACTGATTTTGGCTTATTCATTAGAACTAGTTTTCCTACCGCTATTAATCTGATTTGTTGTGCAGTATCAATTTCGACCTTTTGACGACGGCTGAGAAAAATTAATTAGAATAGAAAACCGTAGAATATTGTCGAATACTAGAGAAACAGCCTAATAGTAGTCCCAATACGAGACGGTCGACCAGCTGACCGTCTGTGGGCAATTTGCCAACCAGCCTATCGACTTTTCACTAATGTTGCTGCAATGCGGAAGTGGTGAAGGACAATTTGAACTCGTAGTCAACCTAGCGAGGGGCGGAGGCCTCTCGTCCCCCACTGTTCCTGCCCTTATTGTGCCTATCCAGACCGTTTTCCGACCTCATTCATGCACAAATGGTATCAGTGGGGGCTTCGAATTCAAAACATGCGCAAATCTCCGAAACCACTTTTTCATGAACTGTACCTTTAAGGAATTGAAGTGCATGAAACTTTTTAAAGGTAAGAGTTATGTTGAGTGATGGATGGGATAAAGAAACGAGCAACACGGAAGCGAAAGTAAATGGAAATATATTTATGTGGCTGAGACCTAATAGGAGCACTTGTGGAATCCGATGATTAGCAGTACCTCTGAGTGACCGACGTCTAGCAGAGGATCGTTATAACCATCGAAAAGGATCTCTTTGACGGTATGCGATCTGTAAACTCCAAAACCTTCAAAACCATTTAAAAACAAGGATTAAATTCAAACAAACAATTAAAAATTTAAATTTAAAAATCTATGGCATGAGACTAAGAAACAGGCATTAGAATAAACTATCTTACACGAAAGGGTATTCGCCAAGCAACAACAGACCAAATCCAAGAATGTTCTGCGCCACTTTGGTAAGATTGTATATTGGGTCCTTAATATCTGCTGCTGCTCCCTATAATTCAGAAACTTCTTCAAGTTACGAACATTACAAGATGGCTTTCGCATGCTTCAGTCAATTTCAGAAGAAAGAAAACTGTGCAAGTACTATGCATCCAATGACGGCACTTTTCCGTTTCAATCTCTGCATTGTGATGAACTCAGACCGAATGTTCCTCAGAATATAGAGCTCAAACAAACACTGGAAAGCTGGTCACCGACTTCGCGTGCTGTCAGAGGAATCACACTCATCGCAAAAATGCCTAATACCTCGGTACTAGCTGGTGGCTACAGCAATGACACTGTCTTGTTTCGTTACTAGCACAGTAGAGAAAGGCTTTGTTGACTTACAATTCCAGATGGATTAGGAATAGTCATCATGTCATTCCACGAACATTCTGGGCATGTGTGCTCGTTGCTGATCACGTAATTCTTATAGTTTTCATAAAAGATTTTCGTTCCGTCGTCACTCCACTTAAGATATCGTTTTTGTTCAGCCTCCCTGAAAGAAACGGAAGCAGGAAATACAGTATTCAAGACGAACAAGATCGCGTTTTTTTAAACCATACATTCCAACAAAACGCATCATTACAGGTTCGCAATCACTTCCAACACAAGGTAAAGATGTATGGGTCGCTGTTGGTCACAAACATAATGTGAACCATAGTATGTGCTGCAGACTGCCACTTAACTGAACCTCTGTGTGGGGAACAACTACCTCATCAAGCCACTTATCTCGGAAAACATGCACGTACTCGAATAAGATGCATCCAATGTCATATTATACGTTCCAACTCCCACCAATTGTGACGAATGACGCAGTCTGGAGTTGCACAGGAATGACCATGCGGCGACTATTTGCGGGCCACAGCTGCCTCAACCTTTTGAAGAGAACTGCTCGCACGGAATCATTTATTCTACATTTTCGCAAAGTCGCTCTCACATCCGAGATTATCTATCTCGAGAGCGGTAAAGAAAGGTGGTGAACCGAAGTAGTGTATCCATGGATCCCCTTCCCTGAAAGGTCTCTTCCATTGAAGAATGCAAGGATACACCCGTATGGATACGGAAGGTATGAGCCGGCCCAGCAAGAAAACGGGAATCTAGAAACAGGATCTCCAGCCAAATAGTGACGAGGCTAAGTGCCCCAACCCCAGGTGATGGATAGAAGAAATTGGGTAGGGGAATCAATAGCGGACCAAAGACACCGGTATTTAGTGGGTGACGGAAGTTCTTACCGAATTCCCACGCTCGCTGGGAATTATGCCTCCAGACTCGCCTCCCAATACTTTCCAGTCACCCGAATGCAAGCTTTCGGCTAAGTCGATGAGCACGATACCAAGTGCACCCGCAATTGAGCAGCACGGGTCGGCATGCGAACCCGAATGCCGTGTCGCGCTCGCCGCACGCGATCGCGCGCTATGAAGGTAAAGATTTGAATTCCTAATGGAAGAATAGGGAGAGCCGCCGCGGAACCACTGCCGCAGGCCGTGGAAATTCGGGGAGACGTTCCGTTACCCGACCAGCACAGTAGAGACAGGGAGTGCATCCTCTGCATCCATCTGTGTCTCTGAGCAGATACTGGTGACTTTTAGTCGACGATTTACACCCTTATCCACCACCTGAGAACGCCCTACGTGGACTCGTCGCTGACCACTGGTATCCTTCAGTGAGAGGAAACCCCCAGTGAGGGAGATCCGTAGAATTTGAACGCTCTGACTCAAATTGACAACTTTCGCGCAAACCCGGCCCCCTGCGGGCGGAGTCTGCTTCCTACCCACCACAAGTGTTTCCATGTTGTTGCCTGTACTTCCACCAAATTTGAACGCTCTAGCTTCAAATTGGCAAATTTCGCGCAAACCCAGCCCCCCGTGAGGAGAATCTAGTGCTGCCACCTGTCACCAGTGTCTCCACCCTGCCTCTTCTGCTCTTACCAATTTTAAACTATCCAACTCTCCTGGCCCACGGAAAAGGAGTTATGGGTTTTCGCTAAGGCATTTATTTTACGCAAACCCCGCCCC